GCCTGTATACCATGCCAGATTTATGGCAAAGGGAATATACTTTCTGAAAATGTATCTCCTTCTAAACAACATTTCTAGCTTGACAGATTTTGAGAAGAAAGAAATAAATGATATGGCATTCTTCACAGCTGTATTTTACACTGAGTGGTTTATAAAGGCTGAAATTCCGGCTGTCGCTCCATATCAGGTGACATTTCTATGTTTTAAAAGTTTTTAATCATTTTGCTTTTTATTACTTTTTTTTCTTTGAAAATTTTGTGTAATATTTCATAGTCTAAAAATCTTTAGGATATGGAAGCTCTTTGGCAGATGATGAGATACTCAAAAATCAATCCTGTCCAGGCAAAACCTGTTATAGAGTCTCTAAAGAGACACACCTGGTACATAGACCCAAATATTTTAGTTATGTCTCTTGTTGACAAAAATGTACAAGAACGGAGTGACATTGCCAAGAAGTTGTACTCAACCCCAAGACCTACAACTTATGCCATAGAAAGACATCAAGTTAATTTAAATATACTCAACTCCCTTATGTTTAATGATGATACTCCCCCAAGTTTGACCCCGCTTATAACTGACCAGAGTTGGTTAATTTTTCATATCTTAAACCATGCAAATGCTGAATAACGGTGGCTTAAGACTCCATCTGAGACATGGGATCTAAATGACTATTACTTAGAATTCAAACAATTTGTGAATAATCTTGAAGTAGTAAATGACTGTAGTGAGAGGGCTATAAAACTAGTTCAGATAACTATTTTATATGTTTGGTCCTTAATGTTTATGTTAAAATCTTAATTTATTTTACAAGCTCATTAGTTTTAAATATTCTTTAATAGGAGTTGATCAATAAATCGCATAATAAGGATAAAAGACAAAGTACCTTCCTCGTATCAAACAAATATAAGAGTGAAAGAACAATTAAAAAAAAATGTGATTATGTAAAGATTTCTTTATTTACAAAATAAATTTATAAACATGAACTATGTTTGACAACTAATTTCTTCAGAAACTAATCATAAATATGATTTTATTATGTAAATATAAATATTTTAATACGTAAAGTATCTTGTTAATAAGCAGAACACTAATATAGTGCAAAAAAGCTTAAAAATGCCTTTTTTTTAATTTTTTTGGCTTCATTGTTTAAGTAAAAAAAAAAAAAAATTAAGCTTAACATTATATTTTTATTTCCTTCAAAAATATAAAACAACAAAAAAAAAGAAAGAAAAATTAATTTGGATAATGGTAACACTCCCCTCAGCTAGTCCGAAATATGGGCAAAAAACGGGCAAAAAATGACCTTTGGGCTCATTGAGGGAAGTCATGGAGTGATCTAATCATGAAAAAAAAAATTTATTAGTAATATCAAGGTTGGGGTACCTTATGAAAAGCAATGTTAGTTGAAATTCAAAAAAGTCATTTTTGGGAACACCCTAATATACATATATGCATTTATATACAGTTACATTATAAATAAATATATATTTTATAAATATAACAAGAAATAAGTTTTTGTTTCCATTAAGCAACATTACAGTGTAGTTTATGCCACGATAATCTTATTTTTCTAACTTTCACCTTTAATTGTTTTTTTTTACATAAAATATAGTAAGAATTTGTATTATTTGATGCTTTTAAAAGATTTAATATCTATATCTTCTAATCTATAACTATAAAACTTTGTTATAAGTCGATTACTTTATTTTCCAGAGTATTAATACAGAGGACTAATCAATGACCTTAAATTGATCATTGTATGTCGAAGCTTTGAAGTGCTTGCTTTGATCAAACTGTTAAGGGCTATATTTATTGGTTAGAGTTAGTGATTAAGGTTTAAAGGGTTGAAGTTAGGGATTCGGATAATGGTAAAGATAACGGGGTAGTGTTTCTAATAAAAGTTAGAGTTATAACGAGTTATAGGGCAAGGGATTTGCTTGCAATATATGGCACGTAAAAAAGAGTATTTTTGCGTTGTTATTGTTGTTAAGGGTAAAGTGCGTATGTGCACCTGAGCATCAGTAAAATGAGCTTAATAAAAATGCGTTCAATAATTGATTCTGTAAAAATTACAACATGTAAAACGCGTATGTGCCTCTGACGATTGCTAAAATGCGACATAGGGTTAGTGCCCGTACGAATATGTACGCTACCACTAGGTTAGTGCTAGTCAAATATTCAATGCTACATGGCTCTGGCCTAGTTGCACTAGTAGTGATTAACAATATAATATAATATTGGTATACAGAGCAGGCCAGGGTAGGGTCAGTTTAGATTAGAACATGCGCTCTAGGTTTGACTGCTAGTTCGATCAATTTGACGGCACTGCAAATAGTTCATTAAAAAGCAACATGGATTTATTCACCTATTGAACCTAACTATATTAATGATAAAACGCTGAAAGTATTAATATAATCTATAACGAAGAACAAAGCACATCAATTACGGATCTATTTACGCCATTTAAAAAATATAATGAACAGAAATAACAATGATTTACGCACCAATATTATGAACTACGCGTAATTTATCTGTCTAATGAATAATTTGAATATTACAACGTACGGTGTTGTAACAAAATGAAAATACGTTGTTAATATACCTATCAATAATGTTATATTACCATGGTTTCTGCTGTTTAAACTGATTTTACCGCTTGAGTATAACATACGTACGAACAAATTTTGGTTGATGCTATTAAACCACGGAGCTTTTTCCAATGGGTTGACGCTTCGTGTCATTTTTCTAAAGATACGCTCTCTTCAATTTTGGATTTCATTGGGTGATGAATATAGGTCCTGAGAAGTTAAATTATCGCTCTTGATATTTGTTGATTTTTTAGTATTCAATCAAATCATAAAATATTATATGACATGGTGTCTGGTCGTAAGTTATATCGGGGTTTCTATTTTTTTTATAAAATAAAGGAACTTATTATTATACACATGTGATATTTTTTATATAAATATCACATGTGTATAATAATAATTTCCCCACAGAGAATAAAAATGAATATAGATGAGTGGGGATATTTAGAGTGCCCGTATAAAGCCTGCCAGACAGCTATAACTGTTAGAGGCTGATTCACAGACACTGGCATAAATGAATGACAACGGTGATGATGAATGATGATGTGATGATAAATGACAACGGTGAAAATGACAATGAGATAAGAAACGTGAGCAAGGTCAAGAGGCAAAAGAACTGACAGAAGATAGGCCAACATTGACCAATAAATATATGGTCGATTAGTCTTGATAAACGTTAACAGAGCGCTTCACCAATTGCATCGCTGCATTTACATTTTTCGGTCAACACTTGGCCAAGCCGAAAAGAACATGTTCTATGCTGATCGCCGACAAATCAGCCAATTTTTCATGTCACACGAGTGAATTTTGTTGGCCGACACTGCCGGCCGACACTGCCATTGTTCAGCCAAAACCTTAAAACTGACCTTTTTGTGCGATCTTATTCCCATGTCTAATCTCCGTGAACTGACCGTTGCATCGCATATTATCATATTATTTGTACCGTGACCTTGTAGCTTACACAAACTATATGCTGGTTAATGCCACTAGTTTTTACATTACATTACTGCTGGCCGACAATATCAGCCGAGAAATGTTGTTTGTGTGTATAGCCGTAAAATTCGCGTGTACAGCCATAGAACGGCTTTCAGTAGATAGTCGTGATGATATGCTAGACTAGCGCTTTGTAGCTTTCACCTAATCAAATAGTATAAATTTTTAGCAACGCTAGGATCACCATCAAGCTCAGATGTATAACTGAACTGCATTTCATGCTTTGTCAGGCATTTGGTAGTCTGTCATGAGCCATAGTGGTAACCATTTGCAATGGTAAGCTATTTGCTTCTTTCCATCAGCAAACTACTTTGTCTTTGGTAGACTAGAGCTTAGCGTGGCTATACATATTACATAATAATTAGTACAACGAGAGCATGACTGTAAATGGCCACCAGCGTGTAAACTAGTTTAGTGGTCTGCCAAAACATGAGGCTGTAACTTGAAAGGCCATTCATGCAACATCAATTTCTGATGTCTGAACCTTGGACCCAAGGAGAGAAAAACTGCAAAGTTGGTCATATAATTGTCCACGGGCATTTTGTCATTATTTTGACAATATTTTATAAATTGTGTTATTGAATTGTTAAATGCACATGTATTTGCTATATTCGTGATGGGTTAATACACCTATAGTACTATAGTATAATAGTTTAGTGAATGTATGCCATATCACAACATAGATGCTATACAACTTGCTTATTCTTTGTAGTTGGTCAATGCTGCTTGATACAATGATGTAAGGAGCACAATATAAAAAATGAACCGATTGCCATTGAATGTATGCCATATTATAACATAGATGCTATACAACTTGCTTATTCTTTGTAGTTGGTCAATGCTGTTTGATACAATGATGTGAGGAGCACAATATCAAGAATGAACCGATTGCCACAGTACTCCGTCATTAAAATTCTCTTGGTGGTTAGCATTGCTTCTCTTGTGTGCCTTGCAACTTTACACGTTCAACTGGTCGTTTTCTACTCAAACGATTGTAATGGTGACTACATATTGTTGCTATTAGACAGTACTGGCTACAGCAAATACAACACAATACAATACAGTTTGTTTAACGAACTAGTCGGTTGACTTGCTGCACTTGACACAAAATAAAAATAAACATAATGAATAAGTTGTATACACCTCAAGTAGTATAGATAGATACTAGCAAGATTTACTCTATGTTTTCTGTTTCTTTCATCTGTATCATGAACATTTCAGACGATTACAAGGTTTTATAAAAATTGCACAGTTAAATATAAGAAATTGTTATGAAAATTGCTTAACCATGTTGTATTTTTGCCACTTTGTGTTTAAGAATCGTTTCAATTCTGAGAATGATGCTATTGGTTGTGTTTCAGATGTTGATGCGGATGGATGCCACTAGTTATGATAATGTTGGCAAACAATGTGGTAAGTTACAAAGTAACTTACCACATTGTTCAAAAAAAAAAGATTCATCGTGACTTCAAGATATCAATATTGAAGTCAAAAAATAAAAAGGATTCATCGTGACGTCAATATATCAATATTGAAGTCACGATGAATATTTTTTTGTTGCTAATGAACTTTCAACGGCGATTCTGTTAACTTTTAACTTTGTGTTGTTATTAGATAACGAAGTCATCGTTGTGATACTGTGAACTTTCTATTTAGTGCTAATGGATCGCTAAGTTGTGAAAATGATATTTTGATTTTAAATTTTTTGTTACTATTAGACAGCCAAGTTGTTGTGGTGATACAGTTAGGGGATGGGGCATGGGTGAACCTGGTGACTATACTGAACAATGAAACGGTATCTAGAAGATCTCCATTATTGTATTTACATTTATCTGGTAATAAATAAAGTGCATTATGTAGTATTGGGCAATACATGCTTACTTTATTAATACTATTATTAATAATAGTAACAATAATAATACACAGTTGGTAACGCTTCCTATATCTTTGTAGGAATGACGTTGAATTGCAGATGCAGTTTGTCTATTTTAATAAATTCTATGATATTGTTGGCGAACAATTTATTTTAATACTATAATCATGTTACAAGCAGTAAGACGTATTGTGATTGCATTATCGTATGTTGAGAATTGAAACTGATTTTTTTTATACCACACATATACAATAAAGCAGTTTCAATTCTCAACTACTAAGTTACTGACTGGCATAACTGCATTTAATGAGTTACCAAAATAATTACTGCATCTTTGTTGTTGGCATATAACTGCCTGTGACTAGCAATTCAAGTGTTGTGTTGGGTGTCGCTGATGTTAACATTGTTGTTGGTTTGTACGGTTTTGCTGTGGTCTCACCAAGTTCAGCCTAACTTGATGAATTATTTTGCTTAATTCTGCATCATTGTTTTTTGTGAAAGACATCAAAAGAAATTGTTGAAAGGTGGCACACAAAACACCGCCAAAAAGATCGACTCATGGCGGTACATCGTTCAATTAAAAGTACGGGGGACGTGTAATGTGTTCATTGGTCATAATAATTAAGAACGATCAACATATTTGATGAACGCAAGTTTGTTTTGTCATCCGCAATTCATAATGATTCATTTTTAATTTGTTGCAAATATTGCATCCGATTAATTTGAATATCTGCATTGCATAATTCATCAAAAAATGTGCGTACATTTAAATTAAATGTCCGCACAATTCATCAATAAATTGTGCACACTGTCAAATTGAATGTGTAATGGAATGTGTGATGATGAATATTAGTAATTTAAATTTGAGTACAAAATGTTGTCAGAATCTGAATTTCTGTTTCACATAGACGTCACCAGGGGTGAGTTGCTACACCAGCACATATAAAATTGCCAGCTGGAATAATGATCTATTTCATACCGTATGGCGTTGCACAAACCCAGATTTAAATAAATGCACATTTATGTCTTCTATCTTGTAAACTTAGTATGTCTTTTTTGGTGTTGCAGATCATGTTGCATTGGGTATCGTCGTTGATGGACAACAACATTGTGCTAGCTTCGATTTACAACGTTCTCTTTTAGTTGGTAAATCACGCTTCGTCATATGGCAGACTAGACACAGTCGTTATTGTTTCACTTCTTGGTACTGTTGGTGAAAGGCTGGCAGACAAAACCGTTCATATGATTGCCGAGAACTCCCTGACTTTGTTGCTATCGGTTTCATTCAAGTGATTCAAGAATCGATGAATTCCGACTCAACTGCAACCGCGAGCTGTCCAGCACACAATCAAAGTTCACATATTGTTGCTATGAAACTGGTGCGGCATTATGTTCCTGAAATAGCAGACAACTACGTGCACGTTGGCTTCACTGATGTTGATATTGCGCCACATTTTATGGATGGTATCAGAGAATTTTGTCAACATATGACCCAGAAGCAGCAGCATGGTAGTTCCTGGACAATAATCGACTTTAATTTATCAGCTGGTTACGACTTGTCTGGTGTACTCACGAGAGCAGCAGATGTAACGCAATTTGCTTTGTTTTTTTCTGATTTCTTCAGTGGCAACATACCCCTGATATACAGCAATTTTCTGAATATCGTCTCGCAGCAATCGCGAATTACTCGTCATCCGACTCTGTTCAGACGACATGACGACGACCAGGTCAGCGCTGACCTAGCTAAGCCATGGCCTGATTCGTCAGACCCCATTGCACCAATATTTTCATCCATGCACGGTGTTGGTCGACATTCCGTCGAAATGGCATATTCCAGGGGCGGTGACTACTTCAGGGCTTCTGGACCAGTGGCCGGCGTCTGGCTTACTCTAGTTTTTAATTGTGAAGTGTACATCAGCAAAAATAAAATCCAGACGGGTTTGCAGTCAGAGTTCCCACTTCTTGGTGGTACAGTCGAAGCCAGCCCGCGACTGCTGAAACTAGATGAAAGTATACCATTTGTGCTGTGCGCTGACTTTGTCCGTATAGGAGAGATAGGGGATGGCGATAGCACTAGCGAGTTCAACCATGTTCAACTGAAATTGTAAAGTCGACCAACACGATGTTTGTATATTAAGGTCACACTTGGCGATGGCTATGATGTTATGTTTTACCAAATTTCCGTGTTTAGTTGAGCCACATATGAGCACGGACATTTGGAACAATGTCTGTCTAGTATCTCTATAGTTTTGTGCGTGCTCTGAGCTCTTACAGTCAGAAAGCTGTCGGTTTGAGTCGGGTAATTTCATCTTGTTTGTCCGTTGCGTAATTCCATTAAAGAGCTTTCGTTATTATACTCTTCAGTTGTGCTACAAATGATCAAAGTGCTAGTCTTATGTATCTTTCCACGCCTATAAACAGCTTTGTGCTACATACGGGGTGCTGTTAGTTTTACGTACTTGCATACGTACGGTCAGTGATAAGATGACAAGTGTTTCGTATCAAATGTTTAATGAACTATTGCACTTACAGTCAAAAATATATAAATTTGTTTACTATGGCATGCGCTTGTATTATTATAGTTATTTGAGTCTGGTGTTTGCGCTGTATTACTTACATAAGGTCAATAAACAAGACAACTCCATTCCTTTTACACATAGGAAGTCTTGCTTCCTCCATTCTGTGACTTCGAATTACGAGCGTCCGCCTACGGCATAGCCTATTGCGTAGTTTTACGGTGGCCACCGACCAAGACTAGCTCAGTGACACGTGCACCGTAGTTAAGGCACGTCGGTCTTGGTTAGTACTTGCATGGGTGACCACTAAGGGTGACCGTGCACTATTGTGCTAGTGTGGACTTTAAACTGTGACTGACGGTCGTTAAAAATATAATTGTAATTAGAACTTGATAACGCGCCATGGTTACCCAGCCAATCAATTGGCATACTGCAGTAAGTTTTACGCAGTAATGCTATAATCGAAGTGCGTGTATAACGTGTGTGTATGTGTGTGTGTGTGTGTGCTCAGCTTCACATAACTAATTTTTATGCAAAAGCGGTCGTTGAGGGTCGACTCAGCCTCCAATCCTGCTCAGGTCCACTGCTTGGCTCCAAAATGCTTCTTTTTCAGCACATCATCGATACTGAAGGATTAGAAAATGAGCCCTCAACTCGGCCTGTTATCCTTTGATGCGCACCGGTTTAAATAGGCCGTGATCTCCTCCGATTGGTCGGCGAGCCCACTGGCGTGACTCATTTAGACTCATTTTCAAAAAAATTTTAAGGAATTACTTTGAAGATTTTTGCACTTAATTTTGTGACTTATTTTTGGGAAGAGTTTTTGGAAGATTTTGGGAAGATTTTGGGACTTACTTTTGAGAAGATTTTTAAGAAGATTTTTAGTAAGATTCTCGGGAATTATTTTTAGGATGATTTTTGGGACTTTTTTTTAGACTGAATTTGGGAAGATTTTTTAAAAGATTGTTGGGAAGATTTTTGAAATTTACTTATGGGTAAAAATTTCTCAAAAAACAAGGGGTTGCACACTGCATCACCAAATTTGCTGAAATTTGGCACAAATGTTCAAAGGTATAAGTTAGGAAAGACTGTAAAATTTTTTCAAAAAAAATTCTCAACCCTTTAAGGTTTAACAGCAACTTGAAGTTAGTTAGAGGGATAAAGCCGGAAATATATCAATTTACCATTACCCTTTTAACAAACTTGTAGTAACTTTGCGAAGCAAAACCTTGGTATCAAAGGAGTTTAAAACCTGCTAAATTTGAAAATCATAAACTTATATCTCTCAAACAATAAAATATAGTTTATTTTTAGATCCACAAAGCCCACTTGTTAATGACAATAAAAAAGGCCATTGATAACTATAGTTCTAAAAAAAACCTGAATGATGAAAAAAAGTTTTTATTTTCGTTATTTTAAATATTAAACATATATCTACTTTGCGAACTAATTTTTATTTCACCTTATGTTTTATCAAGGAGTTATTGATGTTTTAGTTTTTCAATTCTTCTAAAGATATTTTGCAAAAAAAAAAAAAAAAAAAAATTAGCTAATATATTTTGAATACAATTACAATTGTTTTTGTTTTGTAATAACTTTGTAAAAAATTTACGAAGTTATTACAAAACATAGTTGAACATATAAAATTTGTTTCTTTTTACTTTCATTACATAATAATAAGGTCATTTTCATTACATAATATCATGTCATTAAATTTAACAATATTATGTAACTTTTGTTGTTGATTGTTTTGTTGTAATAAAACAATTATTATCATCAATAAAAAAAGTAATAAAATGATACAATAATGTTTAATGTATATAAATATATAATAATATATATAATAGTTAACATTACCATGTTAAGTTACATAACTAATAAAATTATATTTAGTTATCTTTTACTTTTACACAACTTTTTGTAAGTTGTTAATAGAGAATTTACAATAATCAGTAGATAGTTAGGCATTTAAAGTATGTCTATTAAACTAATAGCTACTTGTTCAAGCAATATGTTCTTTATAAATACATATTGATATAATATTGTTTGTGTTCAAGTGCACTTCTCTTGTGAGGGACATTAAGATTATTTAAGATTTCTTGTATTAAGTGTTTAGACAGAGATTCCTCATTATATTTTTATATGGATAACAAAATTAATTGTTGCTTTGTAAATAATTATGGAGCTTGTTATAAACAATCATATACTCAAAAAAGAAATCTGATTGAAGATATTGACAGCAATGATCGTAATTACTTGAAAAACGAACAAATCTGAAACAAGAACAAATTACTAATATATGCACACACCATCATGATATGTTAGTTGTAAGATATAAGGGTAATCATAAAAGTTGCTGTAATCCATTTCTGAGTCACCAAAAGGTGTGTAGAGATAAAAATTTATATATTTTTATTTCATTAGGTAATATCATTATTAATAAGTCATATAAGTTTTTTTGGTAATAAGATTTGTTCAATGTTTTATAGTTATTAGTAAATCAAATTGTATGGTAGTATAATTACATAATATATATAATTAATGTTATTTAAGTAATGTAATTACTTTCTTTTTAAGCATCTCTACGTGTGATTAAAATGCATACTGTGTTTAAAGCAGAAACCATAGGTTTAAATCTTATACCTTGAAAAAAACTATTTACAACCTGTCAAAGTAAAGTTATGAAATGTTAATCAAAAAGTATAAGTGAAATAAAAATGATGAGGATTTTGATATTGTTAATGAAAGATCCATTCAAAACAAAAAAGAAAGTGTAAATACACACTTTGCATCTGCCGGAGTATCTCCAATTAAAGTCAAAGGATTGCACAAGTCTGGTAAAATCAGAGAAGGTAAACAAAAATTGACAGCATTAACAATCTCCATTAAAAAAAAGGTAGCCATTTCCCTTAATATATCAGAAGAAAGTTTTGAAGAACATTCAAGTTTTAATAATGAGCATATGGAAAAAGCAAACTCGTTTGATAACATGATTGTTAATTATCAAAATTGCAGAGTCTACACCAACATCAAAAAAAGTACAACTTGCGACACTTGCTACAACAGACTGGTCAATAAAAGAGGTATCTGAAACATTGCATGTAACGAACTATGTAGTTCTAACTGCACGTAAGGTAACATTTGAAAATGGTATTTTAACCATGCCTAATCCTAAATTAGGAAAAGCTCTTCCTGATGTAACAGTTCAACTGGTCAAAACCTTTTACAAAGACGATGAACATAGCCGTGTAATGCCTGGTAAAAAGGACTATATAAGCATAAAGAAAAATGTCCACATGCAAAAACGTTTGCTCTTATGTCATTTAAAGGAATTGTTTGTTGCCTTTAAAACCAAGAACCCAGAAATAGAAATAGAATTTTCAAGGTTTTGCACCTTGCGACCTAAATGGTGTATTACTGTTGGTGCCTCAGGAACACATACTGTATACGTCTGTGCTATTCATCAAAATTTGAAACTGCTTTTACATCCTCTTGGTGTTTCATACAAAAAATTGTTACCTTATATTGTCTGTGATATAACTAATAAAGACTGTATGATGAGGAAATGTGAAAAATGCTTAGCAAAGAGTCAAGCATTATACCCAAGATCAAGAAAGGAAGACATGAATGAGGCAACAGAACTATTTCTGGGCGATTTTTCAGAAAACTTTAAGTTTGTAGTTCAGGATGAAGTGCAAAGCTTTCATTGGACAAATTTACAATGTACACTTCATCCAGTGATTATTTATTTCAAAAAAAAAAGCATTCTCAAGCACAATTCCAATTGTATTATTTAGGATGATATGATCAATGATGTAAACATGGTTTATAAAATTATTATGGTTGTTTGCAATGATATAAAAACAAATTTGCCTTAAATAAAAAACGTTGAACTAAAATTGAATTGAAAAAATACTTTTTAGATGGGTGTGCAGGTTAATATAAGAATTGCAAAAATATGTCAAATCCTTGTTTCCATTGTGAAGATTTTGGTTTTACTGCTAAATGGAACTTTTTTGCAGCTAGTCAAAGAGATATGAATAATCATATTTTATCTCCACAAACAGTGTATAAATATTGCAATGAAAACATTGAAGGCATAAATTTCATATATATTTCATCAGAAGATTTAACTTTGGTGAGACTGCTAATACAATACCTGGAACACGTAGTTACCATCAGCTTGTACCACTTGGCCATCAAAAGGTAAATTATTATTTTTTAATTATATCTTTTACCATATTTTAAAATACACGCATAACTTTTATTGATAAACTCAAATAGATATTAGATTTTTGCAGAATCATTACCAAAAATATTTGTATTTTATTTTATTTCCTTTGCATTTGCTACCTATACATTTAATAAAACATGTTTAACAAGTAAAACGGAATAATTGCATATGTTACAATTTTGTTTAGGTAGGCACTAAACTATGCAGTGTTGATGAAGAATTTGCTTTAATTCATGACTTGGGAAATATCCGGATAACGGCTGTAAACCTTGTACCAGGTGATTCCTATGAGCAAAAGTGGTGGATAGGAGTCATTGAAGATATTAATTTAGAAGAAAAAGATGTGCTTGTAAAACTTATGTGTCCTAATAGTTGTGCACGGTCATATAAATGGCCACCAAAGGAAAGCCAATGCTGGATTCCTGATGTCCACATTATTTGCAAAGTTGAGGTACCGATAAGAAAAACAGGACTTTGCTACTATTTAGCCAAAGAGGACTTAAAAAAAATTACTTTTCTAAGGAAGTAGAGTTTTATATTTATGATTCTATTATGTCTTATCTATTCTTTTTTAAATATTATGTTTTGTGAACCAACTTGTAAATAATGTGAACGTAAAGCATATATAAAATCACTAAAGTTTAGTATTTTTAAAAAAAAATTTGTTTACGTTTAAATTTTGTTGTAAATATCATATGAAAATGAAAAAGTTAATAAAGTCACTAAACTTTATGTTTTTAATTTGATTGATTGGTAAAAGGTGGGGTTATATTAAGTGTCTAATTTAAAAAATATTAAAAAATTTTGTGTCTATATCAAATATCAATAGTTCCTCAAGTAAATATAAGGCCTAAACAAAATTTGTTCGACAAGTAGGTGTTGATCTTATTTTTAAGAAAATCGAAATTAGATTTTTTTTATATCAGTCAGATTTATTTTATAACTATAATTGTAAATGTCCTTCTCGGCGTTAAAAAGTGTATTTTATGGATCTTAAAATAAGCTACATTCCCTTGTTTTGACATATAAAAAACTATATTTTTCAAATTTAACAGGTTTTAAACTCTTTTCATACAAAGGTTCAGAATTGTGGCGTCACTACAAGCACCATATAAAGGTGAAAGTAAACAGAATGACTTTCGGCACCTTTCCCCCTCTCAGTTTTTAGTCAAAATCAAGGAAACTTCAAATTGCTGTAAATTATAAACGGTAAGGAATTTTATGAAAAACAAATTACAATCTTTTCTAACATATGTCTATAAACATTTGTGCCAAGTTTTAAAAATTTTGGTGATATAGGGTACAGATTTGTGTTTTTTTGTGTTTTTTGAGAAACATTTACCCTTATATCGGGGAATAGAGAGCAAATACGAATATATCAAAATAGCATATCCACAATACCAAACATTAGTAATCGAACTGTACAGTGGGTAGCACTACTGTGCTCGCTGCTTTTATTTGCTACAATTAATATTATTTACTCTAAAAGCTCGTGTTTTATTGTTAGCCTAATATTGTTAACCTCACCAATACTCTTCAATCGCACGATAGGTGGTGCTACTAGGCTCACCGATTGCATACATTGTGATTAGCATTATTTACACTAATAAACTCATTGTAATTACTTAACATTATTAATTTTACATTCAGTTAATACTGTTCACAACAAATTAGCAAATGTAGTGGCCAGAATTCTCCACAATATAAATAGGATTAGGCTTGAGTGGGCGAGAGCTATTATTTAACATGCTTTTGTCCGAACTCAGGTTATTATAATATAATACTCAGCACTGAATTTTTAATTGAATAAATAGGTGAAAGGAAGTCGATATGGAGAACACATCACATTCCGAACTTCAGTCAGACAACGCAAGGGCAGTCGCATTCACACCACGAAGCAAACGGGCTTTACTCATAGGTATCAACACATATATCAGCCCTCTTTTCAACAATCTCGCTGGTTGCGTCAATGACGTGTGGTTGATGTTCAAGCTATTAACCGAAACATTCCAGTTTCCGCCGGAGAACGTCGCCGTGCTGACCGACGACAGTGCCGAGACACCAACGAGGGACGGTATTCTGCGCGCACTCAGTCGACTTGTCTCTGAAACCGGCGATGACGACCTGGTCGTCGTTTTCTACGCAGGCCACGGATCCAGGCGCCGAAACTCCGCCAAAGCTGATGGTTACAATGAAACAATCGTGCCGAGAGACTCGGGAAGGACTCGCGGACATAACGCAGGTGAACAGTTTACCATTAACCGAGATATCACCGACGACGAACTGAACGAGCTGATGCTCCGTCCTCTCACGTCAAAAACTTCCAATTTAGTCTTGATATTCGACAGCTGTCATTCTGGTCATATTCTCAGAGAGGTAGATCTGCCTAGTGCGATGGCGCGTTTCGTGGAAGCCGACGAATGCGACGCGTTCACTAATGAATCTCTAGACGCTCCATCAGAACAGGTTTTTTCTGCTCGATCCGTGAGTCGTACCGTGAAAGGAGCTAGCGGCTGGTTACTTCCAAACGATCAATATGTTTTACTAGCAGCCTGTCAAGCTCACGAAAAAGCAAACGAGAAACACGTCACCTTCATTGATGCCCTCAATACAGAAGTTCTGATACACGGCGCTTGGACATATGAACTTTGCCGCGCAATTTTGGCTGACACACAGACAGAAAACAGCACATATCGTTCAGTTTTCGAACGGGCTTTCCCTTTGGTAACAGAAGCTTTTCCCGCGCAACATCCCACGATGGAGGGAGTTCTCAACCGTGCCGTCTTCGGTGTGCATACGGTGCTCACGATGCCTTACGCGGTTGTGGTGGCAAAAAGAGGGAAACAAGTGCAGCTATCCTGTGGAGCGGCGCATGGATTCAGTTTAGGCTCTCAGTTCGTTCTATGTTCAAAGGGAATCAAGATAAGGCCTTCAAATGATGACGCTGCTGTTATCGGAATGATCGCAATTTCTGAAGTCGGTGCGGTTACAAGCTGGGCATGCAGTATTGAATCTGATGCGGATTTAGATCAGGTAGATATTGGCAGTCCTGTGTTTGAATCGGCTCATGCGTTTGACGAGCTCAAAATTGGCGTTAGAGTTGTCATATCTCAGAGTTTGAGACAGTGGGTAGCAGCAAACGAACAGTCAACTCTTGAACTGGACAATCTGAATACTTATTGCTTGGAGATCGCAGCCTTTGTTAAAGGAAGCTCTGTTTTGTTCTTGGTTGAGGCCGAAGACAAAAGACATGATTGCATAACTATTCAGTTGTCATTGCTGCACGGAGCCAGTCAACGTACTGTTCCCGACTATAAATGCAAACCATATTTCTTCGTGTATGGAGCAGATGGTCAGTTAGAGATTGAGAAACCACTCGCAGTTGATTCTTTTGGTATTTGCGATTTGAAAAATAAGCTCGAATTATTAGGGAAATATCACAGGGTGTTGAGATTAAATAACAGTTATCAAAAAAATAATCCGATCCAAGATAGGGTGGAAATGCATTTGACCCGACGTATTACCGAGGACAGTGCTTGGATGGATGTATTGGACGAGCCGAAATCATTGTTCCCAACATTTTATGAAGATCAGTTCGTTGGGGCAAAAATAATTAATAAAAGTTTTTTATCCGTTGAAATTGCACTCATTGAACTTGCGGAAGACGGATCCGTCTGTGTTCTTCATCCTCCAAATGGCACTACTGAAACTATTGAACCTGGAAGTTCACTTTTTGTGGGCTCTGAATGGGGTGCACTTGAAGTAGCTTCGTCTTTAAGATCTCAGGAAATCTTGAAGCTTTTTGTTACAACTGAAAAAACGGACTTCGCGATATTAGAACAAGACCATTTCCGCGGAAACTTTGCATCTTCTTTGGAAGAACTTCTCGGTACGAACGCAATGCGACTTGTAGGTAAAAGAGCCAAGAAAGATAGTTTTTGGACCACAGTACAGAGAAGTTTTAAAATTTCAAAAAAAATGCAGCGTTCAATTGTTGCAGAAATTTATCATTCAAATGGTTCACCGAATGGTGAACACACAAGTCTACGTGAAACCTGTCAAGATAGTCAATTTATTAATTTCAGTGCTGATAACGAAATTGCTCTCGCAAATATGTCTCAGTGTACTTCATCTAAAACTATTGCATTGTTGCTGACAGCATTGTTCAATTCATTTGAGGTGGGCCACACCGAGAAGGCATCCAACTCGTGCGTGAATCATTTTTATGAACAGGTTAATCTGCATACCATGAACAATTCCTCAACAAATGCGGAAAACACAACATTATTTAAAGATTTCATAGGGCGTCTGTTATCCGAGCCAGACAATATTCCACCAGTCTACCAGATGGTTCGCGCAATATGGTTTGACGATGACTCTGCAAATAAAAACGGGTGTCAAGAACTGCAAAATCAATTGTCGTTTATTGGCTTTTCTGAACTTGTGCGCTATATGGATCCGTCACATTACAGTACTGAATATGCCAAAGCCCATTACAATATTGGCCTGATTTTGAGCCAAAATAGTTATGATCTTCTTAGCGCCAAAGAAGCTATTAAGCATTACGAACTAGCGCTTGAAGTCTGGAAAAAAGAAGTGTACGCTGTTGATTACGGTCAGACGTTGTTGGCAATTGCTGATGTTCACTCAAATCTGTTCGAACAAACTGAAACTATGATTGAAAAGTTACAACACGCCAAACAAGCTATTACACTGTATAAGAGTGCTTACGCAGTTCTACAAGCAGCGTCATCAACTGTAGTAATTAATGTTATTTATAACCTTACGTCTGTGCTAAGTAGACTAGCCGTAAGTGATCTAGGCGATGAATTCACCGAAGAAACCAATTTTGCTCTACTTCTAATAGAAAATACAATATCCTCGCTCAGAAGTCAACCACTAACAAATGACACTGCTGAAATGCTGGTCGATATAATAAATGCCGAATATGAACTGTTGAAACGTGACATAGCTCTACCCTGGCAAGAAAACATAATAAACATATGCGACGAAATACTCAGATCACAATGCATCGATAACCAATGTCGAATTAATTGCAACAAGCTGATGGGTGATGCATTTAGATCGAGACTGGTTGGAAGTCGGGATGAAAATTTGCAACGTGCTGCTGAGCATTTACTAGTGGCTGCCGAACTAGATTTGTGTCAGCTTGACCGTGACTATTCTAACGATCGTTTCGCTGAATGTGTTATAAACCTTGGAGCAACGGTCGACGAGCTGAGGCATATATCTATTTCGCCAGAAATAGATGTTTGCGTCGAAAAATCCAAGAAGTTGCTGGAATGGGTTGTCGGTGGTAGCCTCGCATTGACAAATGATGAGCTAAAAGCAGCTGCTCTTTATAATCTCAGTAGTTTTGTCGATGGTAATTTTGAACAACTGCAACATATATTGCCTATGGCTGCTGACTATGCACCACGTGTGTGCGCGCATATAAAAGCTGACCTCGCACTGGAGTTGCTCTCAAAGTCTTTCCCTAAAGTTGATGGATCATTGTTCGAAAAAGTCACCAATAACGCTGCAGAAAGCAGCACTTTTGATACAATCGGTATTTGTTGTTTACAGCCAGCGAAAGGATTTGACACAACGCGTTTCGAAGAATTAGAATGCCACGGAGGAACAGCATGTGGTCATACAGATAACGTTCTGCGCTATCTGCAAGAAGCGGAAGAACTGTTGCTTGTCGATAGAAACCTCGATATGGGTTACATAAAAAACCTTGGTACAATGGGAAGATACTGGGCTACGCACTGCAAGTTATCGTTAAGCGAAAAAATGAATCGGGCATGGGATTCGTATCTAAAGGCCATAGAGGAAGTGGAAAGATTGTGGCCGCTGTATAACGTTGACGCTCAAGTTACGTTAATGAATGAAATTGGTCAACTATGGGAAGATGCTTTGGACGTTGCAATAACTCGGTATTTCTCGCAAACTGAACAACATGCGCGAACAATATGTCAGCACATATTTTATATTTTATGTAGTGCCAAATCTCGCAATCTTCTAGCCGCCTTGCGCACATTGTCGTCCAGCGCCCTACACATATCACAAGTTATGCAGGCTTGTACGACGCCTTCTTCAACATCACTCTCTGCAGTTAAAACATTGGCAGTTGTTTCAACGTGGCGTTCAAGTGTCGGAACTTTTTCGGTTTTACAATCTGACGTCGTGCAAAATCTACAAGAAGATGAAGTAGTCGTGGAATGGTGGATGTCAAACAAGCATTTCGCATTTTGCATTGTTTATTCCAAAACTGGAAACTTTCACATATGCCGTATGTGGAACAGAGCAGAAATAGCTCAGCTATATAAGCTTTGTTTAGAAGCTCAAGGCAATCGAAACTTCCATTCTTGGACCCAAAAATTCATCCATCGCTTGTCCAAAGCCTTGTGTTTGGAAGAATTGTACAAGTTTTTGACTGGAAACTTCCCAACTGCTACCAAGCTGTTCCTTGTACCTCATGCCTATCTGCATTGCTGTCCAATTCACACTCTGCCTATCTTTGAAGATAAATTATTTTGCCTGCTTGACGTATTCCCCGGTGGAGTATCATTCTTACCAAATTGCAATATTTTGGAATATTTGCGTCAATCACATGTGAACAATACGCAATCAAAACTCCATGCGTTTTTATTTCAGGCAGATCCAAAACATGACCTTCCTTACTCACGCCAGGAAGTATGCAATATTGAGGATGTCGTAAAAGCAACTCAGATAACGTGCAACATAAGTATGAACACGACTGCTGAAACTTTCACAAGTATAATGCCATCTATGGCCGACGATCAACGTCATAGCGATGACCGTTTCGCTGCACCATTCCTGCTGCACGTCGCATGTCATGGAGAATACATTGACGATAAACCGGAAGATTCGTATTTGCTATTTGAAGACGGCAAGTTCACGATGACCCAGTTCCGTAGCATATCGCTGGCTTCCTGTCAACTGGCCGTGCTGTCCGCCTGTAAATCAGGACTTCGTGACTTCTCGCGCACGCACGTGACCGACATCTTCATCGGGTTTGGAGCTCAATTTATTGCTAAAGGCTGTAAAAACGTTCTGCTCGCTCTATCTCCAGTTGCCGATCAGTCGACAGCAGAGCTAATGAGACATTTTTACGAAGGATTTTTCAACGAAAAAAAATCAGTAGCTTCGTCTCTACGCAATGCTCAGATGAAACTTCGTGACCGCGCTTCATCGCTGCCTTCTGAAAAACGGGACAATGGCGTCGAGCGCCTTGTCGGAAAGAAAACTAGCACCATAGGAGCTCGAGCTGGCAGTCGATGGTCGTATGCTCCTTTCGTTCTCCTTGGAGCTGGCGAATACAAATTGAGCAGTGAAAACTAAGTTCAGCCAACTGACTGACTGGTATGACATGACATTAAAATTCGCAGGTGTATTGGCTTTTGTGAACCTATGTTGAGTGATATAATTTTGTGACAATATATCTTATGGCAAATGATATTAAGTTGATACTGTGTTAGTTATTCGTAACGTTATTACAATTAATGTGAAAAACTCACTAGAGTTTAACCGTTTGTGTGTATAATACTGCTTTATAACACGCCAATAACTGCAAAAATCAGTTTACTTTACATTAGAGTGATATTATTATATTAGAATGTATGCATATGCACATTCCTATATTAATGTTTTTATAATGTTAAATATAACTGATGTTTGCAGTTATTGACGTGCGGCGCCACCAGCCTGTTAACCAATCCTCATGAAATTTGGTACATTCGTAAATCACACATATATGGTTACGCTTGCCCAATTGTATGTGTTCGCAATAGCACAGTCAGGCTGCCACCATGTTTGAACATCTTGTTGCACACTTTACATGTAAATGAGTTTACACCTGTATGTGTTTGCAAATGAACGGTCAGACTGTAATTGGTTGTAAACTTCTTGTAGCACACTTTGCATGTAAATGGCTTTACACAAATATGCCTATGTGTTCGCATATGAACAGTCAGACTGCCACACTAAGTGAACTTCTTGTTTCACACACACATGTAAAAGGCTTTATACCTGCTTGCCTTCGCAAATGATAAATCAGCCCATTACCATTCGTGATCTTTTTGGTGTACACTTTACATGCGAACGGCTTTTAATAAGCGTGTTCGCAAATGTGCGTTCATACTACCTTAGCTCGCATACGTTTTGTCACAAACTTTGCAAACATAATAGCCATTACACCCTCGCTTCAGCTTACTCTGTGTTTCCTTGGCGTGCATTTTACATTCATGGAGACGAAGACCAATTGCGAGTTTGAATACTTTGCCACAGTATTTACATTTAATGGTTTTTTTATTCGTTTGTTGTAAAGTACTACTCGGCGTGCTAATAGATTCCGCAAACTAATAAATCGTTTTCATTATTCTCATCATCTGCCTTTGATAGTCGTTGTTTTAACTGGCGGATGACAACTGAACTTTTACTATTGGCTTTACGTTGGTAAAACTACAGCGTACAGGCATGTACTTACCGATACTTGCACGCCATTTTAAAAACGCGTTGACAAGTAAGAGATTCAGCTAATAAACTTTTAAAATGTATATTTATTTAATAAACATAAAAATGTAAACTGGTGAGAGTTTGAAACTTGAGATGATTGCCAATCATCAATCCATATTTACTAAATTTCTCAAAAATAAAAGTTTCATTTCACCCAAAACAGTTGCATTTCCAATAAATAAATAAATATATAATAAACACATATGTTTACCCACAGTTTCTGTATTTTGCCGGAATAGTAATTAAAACAATTGCTCAGCTATAAAACAAATTGTTATATTAGTAGAAAAAAAATTTAACTTTAATGTTCTAGATTTTTTAACTTAACATTCAAGAGTTTTCTGGTGGAATAATTATCCATTCATCATTAAGTAAGATTTGAGTTTTTTCTTATAAATAGTTGTATTATTTTCGGAATAAATGATATTTGCAAGTATATTTTAATGTTTAGGACCATAGTGGGATAATGTTCGATTACCAAAATGATTATTGCATTTTGTTTCCTTTATTTTTAGTGTTCTTTCTGACATTGAGTAGCGAATTAAGTTGCATAATGAGATTGGTGTTTTCAGTATAATAGATTTGTGCAATATTAAAATGACCTTGAATGAATTATATTCTTTCTCTAATTTTCAGATGATGCAATTTGTTTAATTCCTCGTTTACATGATTTTATATTCTAGTTTTAAATACCAGTAATGCTTCACAAACTGAAACAGACTACAGTTTTTTTTGAACAACGACTTTTCAATTCCAAAGTAGAGGGAGTTGCAATAATCTAGCTGTGCAAACATTAGTGAACATACTATGGTACACAAATCTTTGTGCGACATGAATTGTTTTATTTTGGATATTTTACTTAATATATTGTAGCAGTTTTTAACAATCTTATTTGTTAGTGTTTTTAAAGATAACTCATTGTCAAGCGTCACCCCTAAACCCTTTGCTGAGTCAATAAATTTAATGCATTCCTTGATAATAAAAGTACTTTTAATAGTAATTCTTTTTTGAATGCTAGTTGGAGCCATAACTAATATTTTGTTTTCGATTGGTTATTACATAAGAATGATTCACTCCTCAATTTAGATATGTATTGAAGACATTTTGGTATATCTGCGACTAGTGCATTATATTGAGATGAGGGAAGGAATGTTTTTAAAGTTTGATGATCATTTGAGTATTCAAAAATTGATTATGTTTAGATATTTGTATAGTGGTCAATTCAAAAATTGTTCTTTTTTTTCTGCTTACTGTCACTTATTATCCGTAATATAATTATCAACTTTAAAAAGCTTGTGGAATCAGTCCTATCTGGAAAATAACATTTAATAGCTGCAGCAGTTGTGGGATCAAATATTGCAAGAGCAAGTGGTACACTTTTTTTTTATAATCTCCAGGATGGAGTGATTTATATGATAACTTGAAACCATTATATATATTTGGCTGAAGTAATTGGTATTTATTTCATACAATACGAAGTAATTTTATAATATTTCACCATAATGTACATCAATAACATCATGAAACTGATCAAAATGAAAAGCAGGGAATAAAGAGCATTTAAAATATAGTAAATTGTTTTGTATGTTTTTGAGAATAAAGACAATCATGAAGGTCATTACGTCTGGACTGATGGACATTAAAGAATAAAGGAATATTGTAAAAGATTTGATAAAAGCTTTGGCCGATTAACTGGTTTTTTGTAATTTATTTTATTGAGTTCAGTTATTAAGTTGTTTGAGAATCTATTTTCTTCTACGTAATTTTTATATAGGCTGGAAAATTCTCCAAAATACATTTTATTTTGCAATACACAGCAAATATTTCGAAACAAATATTTTGAAAGGCAATAGAACATAAAATAATTTGAAAAAAATACTAAATGACCTAGATTTATTTCAAACTTAAATAAAATCCATTTGTCATTATATATTTTGAGCTGATACTCTCCAAGGTTAAAAATATTTAAATCATTTAAACAGCGAATTTCATCTTTTTTCAATTATCTGAAATCACTCCTCCATCCTGCATTTTCAGAAGCAGGCACTTTGACTTCACCTGTATATTTCGTCTGAAGGTTCTCATACTGACTGCAAATGTTATCAATAAACTCATAGTTTATATCTGGTTTCTGTGAGACTGTTGGAACACAGAAGTCAAGTAAATGTCGAAGAATCAAGTCAAGGATGTGGTGTTGAAACCTAATGTACTGCGGTCTAATAATACATTTTCTTTAAAGTTCTTTATAAAGCCGAGCGATTATTCCATTTCTGCTACCAGTGCTGACTGCTGTTGTATCGCAAACAATCATTTAATACTCTTCCACGCATCGAAGTCATCTAAGAGCTTCTTCAATCCAGAAAATAGGTTTGCAGCTAAACCATATGATGATACCTAAATTCATATTCATATATGATGATACCTAAAATCAATTTCCTTGAATAACTTTGTAAGCAAACAACTTCGTATTCTTTAAATGATAGTTTCTTTCCATCAAAATGCAAACAGAAATCATTTCCCTGCTGAAGAATGCGTTTTATTTCAGCAGCTTTTCTAATTCCATCTCTGACAACTCTTTTCCATTATCCAGTTTGTGATGTTGTGGGTAATAATTTTCTAGTTTATGATGGTGTTAGCAGAACATTCAGCAGCTAGACTAGAACAGACTCTGGATGATTGTTTTGTAGATAGAGAATATTTGGTAATCAGATTTGCAGCAGCCTTGATTTTTTGATATTTTTTCACCTAAGTTTCCACTTCAGGTATAAAATAATCACCAGGTGATATTTAAGCATCAGTTTCTTGCACAGATTCATCTGAAGTTACCATGACTTGTTACTCAACTGAAGATTGCATAACTTTTCGGCGTTTAGACGGATGAATTGTTGAGACTTTGCAGTTGTATATCCAACAGTACCATGAGATTCAATCTGCAGTAGGTAAAGTTGTTTGTATTCAGAAGACGACCTATTTCCATCAGTTTTGGTTATATCAAAGAAACATGCTAATTCCTCCAGGATTCTCTTACCTTTTTTTTTCTGTATCTCACATATGCATCAATTAGATTTGCAATTTTCGGGTGGACACGTTGCATTAATACAACAAGAAAATTAAACTTACCCCAAAGTAAATTCAGTTCCTTTGCAATAGTTTCTATTCTTATTTTCTTCTCCTTCATTTTATCATGTAATCCCAAAAAACGCCCAACAATGTCCTGTTAAGAGGCATTTTGCGGAGTTCATTTAATTCAGTAACTTGCAAACGTATTTATGAACTCCTGACATCTTTGCTTTTTATATTCTGCTGCCATGCATTGGAGCTTTTATTAACTAGGTTACGTGATAGTTTAGACATGTCTTTGATGAACTAAATGTTTTGGTTTAAAGATGTATCATTAATATAGAAACAGCTTAAAAATTTATTAGGTGATGATTTTGGGTTTAACGCTTGGTGTGTATCTGATACTTTGTTAGATTTATAGTTGACTGTTGACTGGAAGTTGATGTTGACTATGATAGGTCAATGGTTTTAACTTTTCTTGTATCTGTTGCCTTTTTATTGTCCACGAAGGAATGTTTTTCAACTCCATTGATAAATTTTTTGTGTGACGTCAATGCAACGAACGGAATCTTCGCGGACAACATATCGAAATAGGGCTGATTAAGTTTAAAAATGGCATTAAGTTCAAAATTTAGTTTCTTCTTTTTTAAGTTGAACTTGTTAAAGTTTTCTTGTTCTGATGGGGTGCGGTCAGGTCTAATGAAAATCTCTTTGTACTTTAAGTTAGCTAAGTTTCTCGCTGATGAAATAACTTTATTACAAGCTTCTACAGTGCGAAACTTAACTATAAGAGAAGGTAGCAAATTATTTGTTGTTGAATGTACAGATGTTCGGTTTGTGTTAGGTAGACGGTGAACTGATTTTATATTTGCAAATGAATTAATTGTTACAAG